AAGGACCTTATTTCTTTTCTCTGTCTTACAAGGACCTTGTTTTCTTTTCAGAATGTTCAATTGCTGTTAGTCTACTGGCTTCTAACCCAAAAGGTTCTAGATAGGTTCAAGTTTTCATCAAAAATCTCTTTTCAATCACTCTTCCTGAACCCTGACAGCTAGCATTTTTTTTAAAGCAAAAGTTACTACGGGCTCCCTAACTAAAAATCCAAAACCTGCTTTCATAAAAACATCTCACATTTATAAACACAAACCAGGAACCTCTGGACAGTGTGCTTGATAGACGTCTCTCTCATTCAATCCTCTCAGTAGCCCTATGAAGTAAGTAATGATCCCCATTTTGTAGATAAGGAGGAAAAGATACTAAATTGTAAGCCCAAGGTAACAAATCTATTTGGGGGCAGAACCAGGACTCTTTAATAATCCTCGTTTTAGTACCTGAACTCTTCTTGAAATTCTTTCCTTCTTCAGTTGTTTAAAATCTGTTTCCCCCTAATTCTCACTCTTGCCTCTCTTATTATCTTCTCATTCTTTGCTGCTTCCTATTTACCTACTCAGCTCTCAAATTTTAGGATCTGCTCAGGTCTTTATCGTCTTAACTCCTGGTACTTACCCTGGAAAATCTACCAATTTTCATTGTTTTCAATCACATATATGCTACATACTGCTAAATAAGTCCATCCATCCATCCTTCCATCAATCATCCATCTTTTATCTACCTACTGTCTAACCCAGGACCTCTCTGCTCACAATTGTGAAATGATTCCTTGGACACACATCACCAGTGGGATTTTCTAGAAGAATTTCATATTCTACATGTCCAAAATCTAACTCTATTGCCCTTGCTCCTCAAATGTGCCATTCCTTTAAGATTCTTATCCCATCCTCCTGTAATACCCCACTTCCCTCATCTAATCAATCACAATTCTAAAGACTCTACCACTAGAATATCTTACCACTAGAATATCTTGGTGACCAAGTCCTTTTCCTCATCCAATTAGTAAGCTTTTGGTGTAACATTTCTTACCACATTCACCTCAATACCTTCTAAACTGATATTCCTATCTTACACTCCTCAGATTCACTCTTCTAGATGCTGTAAAAACTGACATATCATATTACAACCTTGTTTAAAACAACCCTAAACAGAAAATGGTCCACACTTCTGAGGGTGATAAACAGCCCCTGTGATACTACTCCTGCCTGCACTGATTCATCTTTTATGTCACCTTCTAGGAAACCTTCTGGGTCTTCTGCTGCCATGAACAACTGGCCACAGCGTTTCATATTGAAGCCAATTTGTTTCCTATCTACCCACCTTTTTAACCCAGAACCCTCCTGGGCTCTTAACATCTCCAGGGCACAGAGTCTGGCACATAGTACCAGACTTTTTTTTTTTTTTTTTTGGTACCAGGGTGCTTTACCACTGAAACACATCCCCAGTGCCCCCGACCTTTTTTTTTTTGAGAGAGGATCTTGCCAAGTTGCTTAGAGCATCCCTAAATTGCTGAGGTTGGCTTTGAACTTTCAATTCTCCTGCCCCAGCCTCCTGAGTTGCTGGGATTACAGGTTTGTGTCACCCCCGTTTGGTCACACAGTATGCTTTTTAATAAACATTTGTTGGAGTAAAGAATGAATGCTTGTGAAATGTATCAGATTAAGATAAAATTATCACCCTGTTCAAGACTAAATTACACTACATCATTCAAATGGATTTGATTTTGTAGCTCCTCCTTAGACAGATATGCAAAATGCCAGTATGGGTAACAGGATTATCAAACTACACTTCTGCGTAGCTTCCAGGGCAGGGAAATATTAACCATACTACATGGGGCTAATGACTTTCAATGACTGAAAGAAGCATATAAAATATAGTATACATATTTCTAAAAAGGAAAAAAAAAGATAATCAAACTTTTTTTTAAGGGCTGCTTAAATTTCTCAGAAAAGCAAACAAAGAGTTTTCTAGACAATTGAACTGTCCACAATTAGGATATTCTTCTAACAACCTCACACACAAAAAGGAATTTCTATTGAAAACACATTAAAATCTTGAATATAAAAGCCACCCTTCTGGGGACCTCAACCATTCAGCTCACTAGCTATCAGAGAAATAAAGCATGTGAAAGTATCTGTCACAAAGTCCACAGGCTTTATACTCAGGCAACTGCCCACATCATTTCATGGCAAAAAAAAAAAAAAAAAAGACAACAGATAATATAGCAGCAGGGCCCGCTCACAGCCTGACAGCAGTAGAAAATGATAGCTGATAACAGAAAGAGGACCCAGAAAACCATAAAAAGAAGAATGGTACTTCTGTCTCCATTCTAGTATTTCAACCCTGCAGGCAGAGACTATCCACTATAAACAAAAACATCTCTATACACTTCGACCAATAGCACTATTCAGTTCTTTATGAATTCATGCTCATAAAGAAAACCCAACCAGCACCACAAAATGACATATCCAATATTATCCAAGAATAGATTAATATTTAGTAATTGCTTATTTGATTTAATGGCTATTTTTTTAATTTTCAGTAATTAATGGTGTGAGAAGTAAGCTATCTAGAAAATGTGCTTACTAGTGCTTATAAGGTAAGCATCAATGCAGATGACATCAAATAATTGAGGTATTATACACTGCATAAACAATCAAAAGTTCTCAATCTCTGGGTGTATCTTGGCAATTTCCCAATATACATTGGAAATCCAGTGTAAAACATCAACAAATCAATTATCAATTACTTGATAAACAGGAACACAATAAGTTTGAAAATGAATTTGATGGGTATTGCAGCAATATTCAAATGGCAATTAAACTGATAGTTGTCCATGGGTACCTTGGAATGTTTTCATTTAAATTAAATTACTGATAAATGTGAATTGTCAATATTTTAATTCAAAAAATAAATTTTACAAAAATAAGTTTTATTATAAATGCATTTTCTGTATTTGTTTATTCTTACAAGTGCAGCAAACATAAATAAAAGAATAAAACTCTGGAAATATTAGATTTAAAAAAAGTTAAAATCTCTATAGTAGTATTATCCAGAGCTCAGTTATGGTCAAGCTTCAATTAGAGTTCCAAGCTTTTTTACTGAATGTCAAGCACTCCGGCGTATCAGAGTGTTTAAGCAATGCCCTATGAAACTTAGTGAGACCCTGTCTCAAAATAAAAAATTAAAAAGGGCTGGGGATGTTTGCTCAGTGGTTAAGTGCCCCTGGGTTCAATCCCTAGTACCAAAACAAACAAAAAATCAAACAAACAAAAACACTCCTATGATACAACACTAGATATTAACTTAATCTTATTAGTTGTAGGTAAATAATACTAGAGTATTTCCCTTAAGCATTATTAAAATAGTTGTTGAACAAAGACACATTCTCAAAGCAAAATTTCAAACTATCAAGAGATAATTTCTACAGAAAAATCAGTCTGCAGGCTCAGATTTACTTCAACTAACACAAAGTTTTGTACTCCCTTCAATTTAAAAATTCCCTGGGGACAAATTTTCTCATACAATAAAATATGGAGTTTAATCACTTCCTATCCTTCCTGCAAATGATAGTCATTCCCTTGACCTCCCCGCCCCCCCCCAGGGCGTAAGAGGATGAAGTATGACTTTTCTGAATGGCATACTTCATTTTTTTGTAACTTTAAATTATCAGAAATAGAAATAACAGCACACTTGGCATCTCGCCAAACTGCCACACATTCATGTCATTAATCTTGAAAGACTCCTTGTACAAGGTGACAGCCTAAGGGCACTGAAAATATTTTGAGTAGTTTGGGTTTTTTTTTTCTTAACCTTTTCCAACAACCTACCTGAAATAAAAGCTGTCTCCATGGTTAACACTCGCCCATAATAAAGGTGACTCTCCAGGTAATGCCTGATTTGGAAATACCACTCATCCTTCTCTTTGTGATACTCCCTCCCACTGCTGAAAATGCTTTCTGTTTAGTTTCTGGGACTCTGAGGAGTTCTCCATCTTCTCTCCTCCCTGCACTCTGGTGTGCTAAAAGGTGATGGGAACCCTTAGAAACGGCTGCATGGTGCCATGTTCACCATACTCAACTTTATAAAACCACAATTAAGCCGGTGAGTTGGCGCGTACTGATTAGGTACCCGATCCCGCCACTTCATTCTTTTGCCCGGACGCACAGCAAATGCTGGCTCTCTTCGATGCGGTTTGCCTCCTACAACTCCAAACCACACATCCCTGGGCCCCTCGTCGCTCCTCCAGCCCGTGGAAGGCGCCCTTCTCCAATTACAGAGCGTCCTTCTCTCCATCCTCTCGCCGCCGCTCACCTCTTCTTTAACCCGCTCACCTCTTTTTTAACCTCCCCGCCCCCTCAACACACACACACACACACACACACACACACACACACACACACATATATACACGCGCGCACACGCACAAGCTTCTCAAATGCAAGACGACCCGGCCACCATAGTCCACTCCTGGGGTCGCACGGGCATGCGGACACTGACGGTCGCAGAAAGGTCCCTGCCTGTGGGTACTGCCCGAGACATTTCCCACCCCCAACCCCCAATAGCGCCAGCTCAAGTTCCCCTTAGGGGAAAAACGGAGTAAAGGAGAGTTGGAGAGGTCCCGAAGCACCTAGTCCCGCACTCCTGCCCAGAAGATCCTCTGTGCCCATCCCTCCCGGGTCAAGTACAAGGTCCTGGGCGAGATCCGCGCCCTATTATCCCCTCCCTCCTCTAGCGCACACGAACGCCAGAGGACCCTCGAACCGGTGCCTTGGGGAGCGAAGAGACTGAGGGCGCCCCTGGGGGCAGCCTGGAAATATCTCCTTTACCCTACCCCCACACCCACTACCCATTCCTAATTCCCCATCCGCACTTTCCGATTCCTACCCCCTGCCTCTGGATCGCGGGGAGTTGCCGGGCACTTACCTCAGGGAGCCCACAACGCTCCTCTCCTCCGCCCGCCCCCGTCCCCCTGCTGGAACGCTGAAGTCCCTCCTCTTACCTCTTCCCTAGGCTGCTGCGCGTGAGTTTGAGTGTGTCTGTGCCGCGTAATCGTATCCGGGACCGAAGGGACCTGTGTTTGTGAGCTGGATCAGGTGTCGCCGCCTTTGGTGGCACGGGGGCGTGAGGGAGGCTGCAGAGTTCGCGTGTAGGCTTTCGACGGGCTCTCAGGGCTCACAGTTGATGGCAATACTTTAACCGTGCCTTCTCTAGGGGCCGCAGCGCGCCTGCTCCTCGGCTGCTCCCCGCGGGTGGCCGGGCCCCCCCAGTCGCGCCCCGCCCCGCGCGCGCCGTGAGCCGAGCTGGAGCGCTCCGGGTCCTCCCGCGCCTGGTTCACCGGGACGCGACAGGGGCCGCCGCGCGCTCAGCCTCTCATCACACGCCCCGGGTTTCGAGCACCTCTAGCTCACCCAGCCGGGACATGGATGAGGATGCGCTTGGTGCCACGCGCTCGCAATCTGGGCAAGAGTCAGAGACCAGGAACCAAGGTTTTCGCCTGTGGGGTGGCTGTTGGCCAACAGGCTGGGACGCTGGTGAGCTCTCCCGACGCGCAGAAGCTGCTAGCTCTGGGACTGGCACACGCGGCCCCGCCTCCTGTCTCCCCCTACTATATGATCCTGAATCCTCTCGCCACCACCCGGCTGGTCCCCGCGCCCGCCTTTTTTTCATCACGTGCACGCAGGGAGCTCCGCGTGTTGGTAGTGCGCCTTCTCTCACCTTCTCGTCATCCTGTGACACACCTCCCCAACAAATTAAAAAGTTGCTCTTGGACTAGTGGGTGGAGGAGATAGGAGAAAGATGGGAGGGGAGGCTTACGTGAGTAGACACTTATGTTGCCGCCAACTCAGGCTTCAGTTCTGGGCCACAAGAAACGGAAAGCGTCGGAAAACGTGGGTTTGAGGATCTTAGGAAAAGTATATTGGGTTGCTGGGCGTACATCCCTCCTTTGGGGCTTGTGCTGAAAGAGCCATTTATGTTTTGCTTGGTTGAGTCTGTGGCGACTTTATTCTGACTAATCTGTGTTTGCCAGCAATATATCCTTGCCAACTTGGCGTCTAGGCCAGGAAGCAACTTTGCCCAGGACCTGCTGGAGCAGCCTTCCTGTGGCGCCTCAGACCCTAGAGGCCGAAAATATTTAGGTGTCCAACAGTAGATTATGGGCTTCTTGAGAACCAGGCAAGTCTAATTAAAGTTGAAGTTTATCCTCAGAGCCTGATGAACATTGTTTTCTGAATAGATAGGCATAGACATATGACCTCATATAAGTACATATATACTGATGTGAACTGAATTGATTAGTTCAGACTTTTAGAAAAGTAGAAATCATATTCCAGAAGCCGAGGTGCCGCCATTGCACACAAACATATTTTTAAATGTTGGGAAATGGAAAAAAAAAAAAAAAAAGTCTAGTCAGGCTATTCTTCCTTTCTTACAAACACAGATCCAAGGACGCGTTGGATTTTCTGTCCTTAGATAAGAAAATGGAATTTGTGTTTTATTTTGCTTATTCTTACATAATAATAAATGGAAAAGTATACATTGTCTTATTAAGTTTATTATGTAAGTTTATTAAGCCTAAATTTAAGAAATGCAGGACCTGCAATCCATATATTCAAGTCTGCTCGCCATTGAAAACATTTTCAAAAATCAATTTCAAAATGATAAAGAACATTCCTTCTTTGCACATTAAAAATTGAATTTTCCCAGACTTTGTACCTGACCTAGAGAAATTACCATACAGTATATTCCTTATTTATATTTCACTAGAAAAACTAAAATAAAGATTTTACATAACATAAATAACAGTTAACAAAAGAGCTTTGAAGAATCTATTATCTGAAATGTCAGCCTTTCATTTTAATCCATAGTTTTGATGATGCATATGTAAATTCTTGTTTAAATATTAATTAGAAATTAAAACAGTAACCTCAGCTTTTATTTTGTGAAAATCTTTCCAAAATTTGTGTCACATTATGTGCTTAATAAAATCATGAGCTGATCATTGTGTAAGATTTTGTTAGACTCCTGGATATAAAAGGAATTACTATGTATTATGTGTGGCTATGTCCATGTATATTGTTTCAGTGGTCTAGCTATTGTCTTCAATATTTTTATCTAATGATTATTGCTACTGAGAGGGCATTCCATAACTTAAGACGTTAGTCAATCTCTGTATAAACACTTTTTTTGAAGTTCGAAACTATAAAAGCAAGAAATCAAAAAGTTTCTTCCTCTCCCCCCTTTTCTACCTTCCCTTTGTCTGTATATATTTCTACTTCTACATCTATCTCTACCTCTCTTCCCATAAATGCACTACTCTTAGCATATAACATTATTGACAGAATAGTTGGATTAAGTAAATAATGGAAGAATTTGCTCTTTCATTTACCCATCTTTATTGAAGGATGCATATTTTGTATATTTAATCTATCCTTCAAGTTCCCATCCAAATTAACAAAGATTCTCCTTGTCCTATTTAGTTTACAGAATGTTGAATTGCACAGCATATCTTTACTAAGTTTCAGTTAATGTAGAATATGGTGTTAAAAATTCCTCAATGTTTCTGTATATGACTGGCATTAGTTTACTCAATTTATTTTTAAATGCTTGTTAGAATTCTTCATCCATTTAGATTCGTATAATTTTATTGAAAAATATCAATCACCACATGAGAGATATAGCTTAACTTGATAATCATTAGCCATTAAGTTCAGAACCAAACTGCGTAGAATTAAACTTCAGCTTCACCATTTGGCATGTGAATATAATAATATTGTTTATTTAATAAAGTTATTGGGGGAATTACAGGAATTAAATTGCACAGAACACAGTTCTGACACCTGCTATATGCCAAAAAAATGTTAACTTAATGTCATCTGCCATAATTCTAATGAATAATAGAAGAGTTAATCAACTTTGTGAGTGTTTTGGGGCTGTTATATTTACCGACAAATTTATTGTGGAATTTTCACATTATAGGACTCAGCACATTATAATAAAAAATTCTGGCTAGGTCCTTTGCTACCTTTCTTAATTTTAGGATTTTACATCTCATACAACGTTCTAATAAGATCAAGTTCTCCATGCTTGTCCATTTACTATGACAAGAATATTAGTATTTCTTAAAAACCGTTCTTAGATTCATTTTATTCGTTTTTATTCGTTTAGTAAGTACTTGGTTAAACATCCATTATATGCTCAATTTGGTATGCACTATAAAGAATATATTCCATTATCACATGACAAAAATTATTTCATGGATCCTGCCCTTTGCCGGAGAAAGAAGTAATTTACAAACATTTAAAAAATTATATGAGTGCATAATCATAGCTTATTTGAATGTAATCAAGCATCAAATGCATAGTAAGAAGAAGAAAAGGTATGGAAAAGAGATAAGAGGAGATTAATATCAGCTAGATTTGTTATAAAAGGTGTCTTGGAAAAGATTATATTTGACTTAGGGCCTGAAGGTAGGGTTTCCAATTTTATAAGAATTATTGGGTACTTTGTGTAAGAATCAAATAGTCTATTATTAGTTCTTCCCGGACAATTTTATATGCCAAACAAATAAACCTACTATCTTAAAGTGCATAGTGTTAAAAATAAAAAGGTAGCTTTTGTGTCTTAAACTTGAAATCTATTGCTGTGTTCAGTTGTACTTTTCACTATTTTAATTCAGGTGAGCAGACAATTAAGCACCTTTAGGGGCAGACCCTGCTAGACACTCTAGCCACAAAATTGACTGCAACGTAATCCTCAGAATGGTGGGGCAGAAGACCAACCATATTATGCATGTAATCATAGAAGAAGAAAGCACAGAAGTAATTCAGAGGAAGTATTTTAACTGCGTGGAAAAGTCTAGGAAGACTTTCCAAAGAACTGATGTTGAACTGTGTTTTAAAGGATGAATGTACGTTCAAAAGTCATCAAAAGGACAATTTAACTACAGGGGATTTTCAGTTTCTATATTTCCCTCTCATTAAATTGATCTATTGCTGACCATTATCACCTTAATGTATTTGGTACTGCCTCTGGTACATTCTCTGATAAAAATTGCTTATATTCTTTTTCCCATTTTCAAGTAGAAATAATACAAATATAACTTGCTGACAAAGAAAAGAGTAGATCATAGATTGCTAGATACATATATTCATGTAACATTTTAAGGGAAAAAGAATGAAAAGGTGGGGATGGGTTTTAAATGAAGAATTCTGCTCAAAACAACTCTGTGGGTTTTACTCACATGGCTAAAAAAGCAGGGTTTTAAAAAGCTATTACTCAGATATTAAAACACTTGCAAGAATACAATTATGTAATTTCATGATGGTTACTAATTTAAAGCTAATATATTGTACAAATTTTTATTTAAAACTTTAAAAAAACGGCACCTCCTACAATCCATTATGAACAGTACAGTTTTATATCTTTGGACCCTGTAACACAGATCATGTAATGTAAAACACAGCAGAATGGATTTGCATTCACTTGTGGGCAGAAATATAGGTAGCTCTATGTTCCAATACTGCTTTGCTATCGGTTCCAATCATTTGAGTGTATTGTTTGGGGACACCTGAAAACTTCACTGACTTCACAAACCAACCCTGCTCTTAGAGTACTATAAGACTGCTTAGGCTTTGATGCTTTTCTCCATAATAATAATGAAAATTAGGACTTCCACCTTGAGTCCATAACAACACATAATGCTAAAAGTGATCTCATTTAATCTTTATTTTAAAAAAGCCTGGAGGTAGATAGTATTATTATTGAAGCAGGAAGATCAGTCACCCATGGGCAGCCAGGATGAGGGATTTTCTTTCAAGAACAGGAGGGAAGGGGACATCATGCCAACCTGAAAGGAGAACTTGGATCTGAAAGACATCCTGCAACTTGCTACTCCCTGCCAGTGTTAACCATAATGCCTCCTTCTGACCTAGAATACCTACTTCTGTTCCTCACAGCTGCAACCATAGCAGCCTTTCCTTCATTACCCTTGCCCTTACCCCTAGCAATGGCGAACCACAAGCAGACTCCCTACCCAAATGCTTCTTTTTTCTAACAGACATGTCAAAAAACACCAGTTAAGACCCGTACTCTTAATTATTTAATAAGGGATTAAAATCATGTAGTTCTGATGGACTTATTAAGCTTAGAGTTCAGAGAACTTGAATGGTTCATGCTAGCATTCCTCATCCCACCAATCACCTGTGCTGTGTCATCAGATATGCTTTTAAAAATTCCTAGATAGCCAGGCATGGTGGCACAAATTTGTAATCCCAGCGGTTTGTTAGGCTGAGACAGGAGGATTGTGAGTTCAAGGCCAGCCTCAGCAATGGTGAGGCCCCCTAAACAACTCAGTGAGAACCTTTCTCTAAAATAAAAATACAAAATAGGGCTGGGGATGTGGCTCAGTGCTTGAATACCTGAGTTCAATCTCCAGAACCAAAAAAGAAAAAACCCTAGACAGGGGTTAAGGTTGTAGCTTGGTGGTAGCTTGCCTAGCATCTGTGAGGCACTGGGTTCAATCCTCAGCACCATATATAAATAAATAAGATAAAGGTATTGCGTCCATCTATAACTAAAAATAATAATAAA